CATTTATGGTTTGATTTCTTTATATGTATGGATCACTTGGGTTGTTACCGACATCTGGTGAAAATTTCATGTCATTAGCACCTCTAGAAATATATTTACTGAGAAAAATGGTGACATGTTCAATACTTATTTTACCCGCTGTATATTTATGTGTGTGTGTGTGTGTGTGTGTGTGTGTGTGTGTGTGTGTGTGTGTGGATCACTTGGGTTGTTACCGACATCTGGTGAAAATTTCATGTCATTAGCACCTCTAGTAATATATTTACTGAGAAAAATGGTGATTTGTTCAATACTWATTTTACCCGCTGTATATTTATGTCTGAAACTATATATTTTTTAGTATTTTGGTTAGAATATGAAGAAATCCATCAGATCAACATCAGTTTGAACAAGAAAGTCTCTTTTCCTTCTAAAACGTTTTCTTTTATTGTAATCTTTAAAATAATACAGTTTGAAAACAGCCTTACACACGTAAGTCTACTTTTTAAAGACTGAAAATGTTTTAGTGGCTCAAAATTGTTTATTTATTCAGAAAGATGGTTAAAAATGACTCTTAAACATAAAGGCAGGAGTTATTCTCAGTAAATTATAATTTTGTGCAAACGTGCCACCAGATTAGTTTCAGATTATTGTGTTCTGAATGTGTTTATATTATCTTGTGTGGTGATTCTCCACAGGTGGTCCATCACATCTATCGGGCCGTTGGCTCCAGACACCTCCCTCACAGTAACGTCCAGCTGGTCCACCTGGACTCCCACCCTGACCTGCTCATTCCTGTGAACATGAGTGCAGACACCGTGTTTGACAAGGACAAGCTCCTCAGGTGTGTTTTGCGTCTTTCTGTTACTGTTAAGGATTTTGTTTCAACTAAATAAGCATCAAAAGAATAAGATAGACTTGGATTATTAAAGGTTTATTCAACAAAGACTCGACTGTTTAAAAAAAGGGAACAGGATTTGTTGTCAGTTTGGACCTAAAATCCTCGTCTTGCTCTTAATGAAGACATTTTATAACGACACAGCTTTTGTTTCTGTTCAGTGAGTTGAGTATAGAGAACTGGATCATGCCCATGGTGTATGCGGGTCATGTGTCCTGTGTGGTTTGGCTGCATCCTTACTGGTCCCAGCAGATCCAGGAGGGAGAGCACAGGATGGATGTAGGCAGAGAGTCCTCCACCTCCACCATCAGGTAGAACAGGAAGGACTCGTCGTAGTCTTGAGTTTTCAGTCGACCTTCAGAAAACGCTGTAGAAGGCAGCACTGAAGTGACTGGACACGTCCAGTTAGAGCAGGGGTGGGCAATCCTGGTCCTCGAGGGCCGCAGCCCTACACGTTTTACATTTTTCCTGCTCCAACACACCTGATTCAGTCACTGAATTACCTCTTCCAAGTTCTGCAGTATGGAGGACCGACACTGACATAATTAAAATTAAAAGCAGAAATATATAAATGAACCACTAAATAAATAAATACGTTTAAAATACACCAAATAAATTAAAATAACTTTACC